TAAGTATTTGTATATGTCATAAAAGGAAATTTATATTCGTTAAAAAACCGCGTATGCAACAGCTAGAACGCAGTTTCCTCAATCGCCTGGTTCAAGTCTGCGCCAGCATCGGCTATCAGTTCCCAGGACATTTCCAATATTTTCCAAAATTGCCCTCCTCTTTGTTTGAAGCTCCTGACAGTAAACCGCTCTCGTCAGTCCATGAAGCGTAGTACCTTGCAAAAGCATGCGAAGTTTTAAGATACATCTCGAAGAGGCAGAAAGTTTATATGCTAGCCGTATAAATATGCAGAAGCAGACTATATACACATTCCTTGGAGAGCCTACAGATGTCCCGAGACATCTTGTTTCGTGAAGCCGTGGTTTTTCGGTGGTCAATAGTTAAGTCCGAAGAAGATCCGACTCTGTTATACTCTCTGTTATACTCTGTTCGTCAGCATCTCCCTTAGAATTATCGCTTTGCGCGCGACTGACTGACAGCACCTTCCAAATGACCAGTGGCCAGTTTCTAGTCAAAGACCTAGCGGTTATAAAACCTCCCCCCGTGTATTTATCTACACCTATGCCGTCAAAGCAACGTACGATATGATGGCCGGATCCAGCCACTCGATCACACCCTCCCCCCCCCTCCTACAGACGTGATGTGCCGATGGGTCGTAAAGTGGAGTGCAACAGTGCAACAGGAGGCTGGGCAGACCAGCGGGTGTATCAGCCGGAGGAAGACACTTTTCGGGCACTGCATCTACTTGATGTGGGAGCGCACACACAGAACGCACGTCGTCCGCGGGCGGAAGGGGACAGGGGGTGGCTGCTCCGGTGACGGTTCCCAAAACTGCCTTTCTGGCCTCTGTGTGTGTGTGTAAAGGCATGACCAGCTAAAAACTACCTCACCAGGCAGCAAAGGAAACAGTTGTAAAATAAGCACTCGAACAACCATAAAATTCGGAGCAGAAAACGTGAGAAACTTTCTCGGATGTTCCAGTTTTTTGATGGCCTACGGTCTGTCTTCGAAGGAGAAAAATACCTTTTTTCCAGAAACACTCATGAAGAAAATCCGGAGAGATGTATGTGCGAAATAATCCGGGCAAGTTTAATAGTAGTCGACCTCAGCCGAGGGCTGATGATACTTGCATGCCGTCTCCCCCTAAAGGGTTAGAAGATTAGAATGAAATCTGGTTCCGTTTTTATCATTCACGATGAAAAAGCGAAATACAATGTTCCAAGGCATAGACTAGGTAATCTACCTCATATAATTTACCTTAATAAACGAAAAACCCCTAACTTATCTGAAAGTCGTCCGATTAGCATCGCCTCAAACACCAAGCTAGTAATAAATGACCTTGAATTAAATGAAAACGCAAAATAAATAATAAAAGTTCTATTTCATTGAAAAAAACAAAATTTTTATGAATAACTACAGTTGTCAAAAACATGAAAATGCGCGTTTTATGTGCCAAATCAAGTTTCAGGATTACATAAAACTTGTCTAAGCAAAACTTAATACAACGATATATGTAAAACAATGTTTAATAAATTACTTCCTGCATAGGTTTTCATCGACATTTCTCCAAGAGTTATTACTATATGAAGTCTGTCAAAAAGTCAAGTGCGTAATGTCCAGTCGTGTGTTTCGCGCAAAATCGATGCCCTTTGAGGTTTTTTGTATTGTGCGATGGGCGATTTATAAAGACAAAGAGGATTCGCCTGACTTCGCTAATAGACATGTCATAGGTGTAGAAGTTTGAATCAGTTTGCATATCGACAGACCGACGAGTGGTTACTAAATTTGAATAGAGTAAACAGGTGCAGTCGCAGACGTATGGGAAATGTGCTGGCTTATGAAATGTTAACCGAAATTCTGAAATGCGTTTTCGACGCGAGAAGATTACCTAAGCAGGGTTGTAATATTAGGAACCATGCATTAGTATTCCATAATAATTCACTTATTTCAAGATGTTCGCATTTGAACAAACTTCTATCCGGCCGACTGCAAGAACTACGGTCCGTAAAACATTTTCTAATGGATTTTTGATGCCTAATAAATTCGGTTTTTAGAAAACCTTACCAATTTCGGAATAATTTTAACTTAACTTGCTGTCACACTTGAATTCATGGCTTACAAACTATAATTTGTAGATTTTCGGTGTACGGAAGCCTATATGGTCTCCTCTTAATGCCGTAGGGAAATGTACGCTTTTCCGTACACCAAAAAATACAACTTGTAGTTTGTAAACCCTGAATGCAAGTATGACCGCAGGTTGGGTGCAAAATAATTCAGGAACCGGATGGGTTTCCCTAAAACTGATTTATACCCTTCCCAAGTATAAAATTTTAAAAAGACGTATTTTTCTACCAAATAAGTAAATTAAAAGGAAACGTTTCCCGCATTAACTTACTTTATACTGTACTCCGATGTTGGAATAGGTTGGGCTTCAGATTGGCCTTGCAGTATCCGTGAATACTTCACAATTTTAAACGCTTTCGACTGACTGCCCACAAACATAGATCACTTGGCATTTATTTAGCAAAAACGTAGAAATAAATTGCTTGTCGAATTCACTGCCGAAGAAACGAGTGAGTGGCGTTCATTTTTTGCGTTTAAGTAGAAACGCCTTATTACTGACACGTTCGTGATTCTTTTCAGGCAATTTACATGGCGCCATCTTTGCGATAAATGACAATCTTTGAACCTGTTCCAGTTGGCGAATGGCAGTCTAGTGACTTGCGTTAAAATGCACACTTATGCCTCTAGTTGTAATCCGATGATTGGCTGTAACGATATCTGAGTCGAGTTCCCTCGATCGCGAAGTGCTTGGCTCTTCATATAAGCTAAAGCTCACACTTATAAGGCAAAAAACTTTTTTTACGGGCGCAAATGTTCTCAACGGACGTCCTGCCGCACTACAATTAACAAATTTTCTCTAGTTGGTCCGATACTGAGGTCGAGTTTGCAAGAAATGTTCACAGGAAATCTCGTATCACAATGAGAAAAAGCGAGTAATATTAATACAGCTGTAGTGTTAAGCAATATAATTGGAAAATGGTTCTGAAAATCTGTCTTGTAATCTTCGGCTCAAGAGTTGCAGTGGACTTTTGTTCTAGTCTCAGCTGAGTAATCCCCGAAATCCTTATTATTGCAACTGGTCTTTAAATTAGGCGAACATCCCAATAATTTTCGATAATTAATCAAAACAACAGACCTCGATACCTTCAGAAAATACGACGGGCCTTGTATGTTCGTTAGCTTTCCACTTTTTGAAAGACACAGATTCCCAGACAGTGGTCCACGGGGTTTTATTTACCGTTTTAGTTCACAGATTTATCGCATGTTTCTACCTTTTATAAATCCTACATCCAATGAGGTTTAAATAAGCTGAAGAGATAACTCACCAAATATGCAGTTATTCAGATTCACTTAAAGTACGGGCGTCATTAGACCAGGAACACTGATAATCCACCGCGAACTTGGCCCCACTTATTTCATCCCCAGTTCTAGCAAGAATATTTCCCTCAAAAATGAATAACGCATACTATAAATATACTGTCCAAGTTGCTTTCAGTGGGGCACGCGTTTTTAGTGGTTCCCAGAGTCACTCTAAGGCCAATCGTTTGTCAAGGGGAATGAACAAAAAATATTTTGTGTACTGTTCTGCAAAAACTGTCCACTACCTGAAATGTCAGACACGGCATTCGTGGAAAGGACGGATTTCAACAATATTTCGAAAACGGACTTATGTTACTACATGCCATGAAAGGATTTACTTTACGAAGAGGCCTACATTTGATTCGACATGCTCTTCTAAGTACAGAAAATCAGAATATCCATTGAATATTCGGTCACTTAGACAGAATATCTTAAACAGGTCCAAGAAATCTGTGGATGGTGGGTTTACATGAGGGTACAGCACGGATTGCAATGAGATATATTTTCAAGTTAAATGATATACGGTTGTCGAATGTAGTTAAGAAAACACGTCATGTAAATATACTTATGAAAAATTCCTTACTTACGCAAAACCTATCAGCTGTAACCTGCAACTAAATTCCATTCCTTTCTAACTTGAAATGTCATTTGATTGCATTGAGGATAATCCTCTTCTTCTCAGATGCTTGATGGTCATACATCTAGAAGAGCACGGCGACGCGACCACGGATCAGTCAGGGTGCTACTCTATCTCGGAACGATCATACGGGACGCCGGCCTTGCTTTGCAAATTGACATAACATAGGAGAAATCGTGCTGCAGAGTTCCCTTTATTTTCTGCAGAACATAGCGACAACAAGTTTTCTTCTTGTCGGCAATTCTAAAGCTTCGTTATTTTACTCTCACGAAAGCTAAAGAAACAAGTCCCGGTTATCCTCCGCCAAAAATATCTTTTTCTACCAAAATCGCTTAATCGTCAACGACATTGGATAGGCTGGATGGTCCTTACCTGACGGCCGTCATTTCTGGAGTTCAAAAAGGGGTGACGTCAGCTGTTAGCTGTCCGTGGAAGTTCTAAATGATGTTCTGGTTTTCAGAAAGAGTGAACTTCACGATGATCTGACACATCGGATAATCAAACGTAGGCATTTTAAGGTTCCCTACCAACAAAAAGTCGAGCCGCATGGCTTAGTTGCAAAAAATAGAGTATCGGTCGCCGGAAGAAGTGCTCACCTGCTGTTTGGAATTAATGCTCGAACACATAGCTAGAAACGCTGCTTGATAAATGTGTCTGCCGCTGAAAAATCTCATATTTACCAAAATGAGCAGCTGCGTATTCCTCATAAATGGTCGCACTTGGTACAGTGATGGCCTGGTTGCCCGTATCCTAGTACTCACTATCCAAGATATCAACAGTAAGGCTGTAGATTGACGTGATAATAGTTCGGTAATTTTGTTCTGGAATATGTTTTCGTTCGCGCACCATGAACCTTATCAAATACTCCGTCTGAGGATCGGGTACGCATGGGGAAGGTCTATAGGCCTGTCAATGAACTGCGGATCGGGAAACCCTGATATGGACAGTTATCAAGAGGACTACGGCTTCATGTTAAATCGATCTCCCAGTTCCCCGAATGCAGTTGCTGTGCCCGTACCAACACCAGGTTCGTCAATCGATTCCCACAGTTTCCCACTATGGCAGTGGGTTTTTTCAGCTTCATGTAACTTTCGATAATGTAAGATCTTAGCCGTCCTTAGGAGAAGCCTGACACATTTTATGTGAACCAGGTCTCATTTGGCAAGCCCGTGACCGTCTCTCGTCTTCCTGACACTCTCTTGCCACCGCAGCCAGATGGATGAGGAAGCAGAGAGTGTGGTTGATGCTGTATAAATCCGCTTCATGATAACCTAATTCAGACGCAAGTACCCGAGCTGCTCTCAGTTCACCAGGCAGCAGTAGACATCATCGTTGCAATGGTCAAATTGTTTTTTTGGCGCCTGATAGTTGTCCGCATTTATCTTTCAGACCGAACTCTGAGACGTTTTAAGTGGCTAAAGGCCTCAGAGAAGTTCTTAGAGTAAAAATGTGCACATCCGTGGTAAGACAATCTGCAGACAATCCAACCACGCAGGAATCGCACAAATATGCACCATTTTTCATTGGCATTACGTTTAGCTAAATTGCCTGGTGATTACCACACAAATAATCAAAACTGGTACTGATCAAGTACTCCAGGAGTTAGGATCATGCCATTATAGTACGAAATATGGACATTACAAATGACTGCGTGTTACAGAGGACACCAAAGGTGCAGAGCCAGGACGTACAGCGAAAGCCGACCGTGGCATCTTAGCTCGGACAGCCAATTAGCGTGCGTCTCAGTATTGAACACGCGCGATATCTTTCCTCATGCATGCGGCCGATCGAACATTCGATAATTTTCCGAAAGGTATTCTCGCGCACGAGTCGGCCAATCAACAATTACCAGGCGACAGGTCGGAAATTTCTGAAACGCTTATCTCGAGTTGGCACGCGATAGGACGGAATATTTCAGAACGTTCAGGGGGCCATGTAAAAATGTGAGTTTGAATAAGCGGAAGAACTCCTCGAGTTCAAAAGCTTTCAGTAAAGTGCACGTTTTCCGAACGGATTCTCTTTCGATCTCGCCTTTCTGCCGTGTCATAACACTGCGAGATCTGTTACTTTCAGTGAATGCTTGGATGCGTAGACACTGTATTTTACAAATACTTCACTCATGGATGCTCCCTGCCACTGTCTCCGAAAGCGGATTTGAATTCAAATCAGAAACGCTTAACGTACTAAATTCCTACTTTATCGTTTGGGCCTCCGTCTTCCCGAATGTCTTCTGTCTCGTTTATTTTGTCAGTAATCTGTCAGTCGGCACCTTATATCAATGGAATCAGTTGTATGCGCCATCTTATGGGGACCTGTTTAAACAGCAGGTCTAAAAATTTGTTTGATTCGTTTTGACTACGAGTCGTAAATGCCAGAAATTGCAACTTAATGATTGCTCACACCATACTAAAGCCATCTTTTGTATGCGAATGGCTATTAAATAATTTTTCGCGAGGATACGTTAGTTTCAGTTGGGCAATGGAAAATCTTTTTATGTCCCAACTTTCTCTTTTTCAGCATTTCTACTGTTTCAATGAAAAAATAAAGTCCGGTATGGACAGAGAGCATGATATCAGAAATCCTGCGTCCTCGCTGGTCTCCGCACACATGCGACTAAGTGTGTGTCATGTCGGATTCCGCATTGTAAACGGGTAAATCGAAGACCAAAGTGAGGAGCTATTGCGGCTACCGCCTAGTCGGGAGAGCGAGTGAATGGTCCAATGAGTGGACATTCCCCCAAGCAACGGGTTTTGGCGCCTCTGGATGATTTAAATTATTCTGAATTCGGGATGGAAAAACGTCATTTCTTTTTTTTCCCCCTAATACCGCTGGCATGTCTTTGTGACGTCAACCAACTATAAGATTGTTCGCGGTGACTGAAGTTGCGCCTAACACGTAACCACCAGCCTGTGTGGCCATACCTGGTTCCAACGTAATAACATCGCCTGTTTGTGGAATCATTTGCTTCAACCAAATACAAAATCGAAAACGGAGAAGTTATACGTTTTTGGGCGATGTCGGCATCTTCTTTGCCTTTCTATTCGTTCATGTTCCTTTGGTCCAGAAAATGACAGGAACTAATGCTCGGCTACTTTTCGGAAAACTCAAAGCAAGAAACGTAGAAACGACTGACGCTATCGAGTGTTTCTGTTTTTAAATCTAAAAGGGCGCCATTTTTAAACGAACATGTTGCCAGGAATTAAAATTATTCCTGAATGAATAATTAGTGAAGAAAACTACTCTTCCTAACACGGTTCTGGGTCTCATCTGGATGATTCTGTCCACCAAATTCTTTGTATTTGGCTGTAGGAGTGACCGGAGGTTGGTTATTGTCAATCTGTTTTTGGAAAGTGTAAGATAGGGGAGACACAACTAAGATTCTCAGTTTTATTTTGCCGACTACGCATCATTGTTTGACTTTGCTCTACCTTGGTATTAAGGTATCCTTCATCCGGTTGGTCTTGTAATCTCCTGATTTTTTTAATTGGACGCAAACACAAAAGACCATTTAATCACTTCGCGTCGTCAGCCATGCTAGACGACGCTGCTCGAGACGTAGCGGAACCCTCACAGTTACGTATTTGTCTGTTCTGAAAGACATTGGATTCCCAGCGAATCACTAGCCCATCACAAGGCAAAGAAGGGGCCTATATGGGCCGAATGTGCCCTCACAGCCCACATAAGAATGAAGTGAAGAAATATGCATGTCGTGGTTAGCGAGAGCCACGCTGAAACAGTTGTTAGGCGCCATCGCGTAAGCCAAAGGCCAGTCACCCCCTGCGGCAGGACAGAAACGCGAGAACGGCTCGCCATTTCGCTGTATCATTTCATGTTCCTGGGTGGAAAAGGTGAAAATTTATGATGACATTGTTCACATTAACTTTTCGTTTGCCATTCAGAGCCTGAAAGTACAGTCCTCCTTTTCTCCGTTTCAGACAGGTATTCGGCGTGGATAGACAATGCAGACTTACGAGGAAGTCAACCCCGGTACCAAATTCAATTTTTGTGATATTTACAATCCACACGGTTGTCCTACTACGAACATAGGATAGGAATCGGAGGGCGCACTTTAGACAGAGCCTATTTTAGTCGCGTCTAGACCGCCTTAATACATACCGCGGAATAGAGTAGAGTGTCCACGCGGAAAATGCAGTTAAGGTTCTACGGACAAACACCTTTGACAGGAGACAAGTAGAGATACATAAAACCATTTAAAAAACCACGTACTCTCCTTGGTCCGAGTCAGGATTCAGAACAGATTTCCGAGAAGTAAGTAACACGGTTTTCAAATCACGATAAAATTGTAACGGAGCATTAAACTTTTTTCTAAAATTGCACTGTCTCTGTGCAATTGCGTAAATGTGTTCAGAGTTGTTCCCACTCGAAAAAGCAAGTATGAAATAAGTACAGGCGGATTCGAATTGTCCTTGTTTTAATGGACAAACCAGAAAACTATACCTAACATCGGAAACTGGAGCATGGACTAGAAAACTCATGCAGAACGCCGAGGTATCCAGTAACTGACCAAACCTCTCGTGGCAAAATCAAAGATCAACGAAACACGCATCCGAACTTTTAGCTATTGCCCATGCTGAGAGCATGGAGGAGGAATCATAGCAAATAACACTTATTAGAAGGCCAAAGGTAAAAGCAAACGTCTCAAAGAGCTGCAGACGAAATGCCTTCTTCTGACAACTGACAGATGTTTTACGTCATCCTAGATAAAAATAGGAATTTCAGTCGATTTTTATGTGAATGTTATGAGTAACTGTTGGTGCTCGGCACTCTGTAATAAATCTAAAAGAAAACAAAAAACTGAGCTGATTCCTTAAGACAAGAAAGGTCCGAATTAAATTACGAAACGCTTGAATGATCCCGAAAATGTCCCAAATTACATCTTTTGCAAAGCTACTTTGTTTTGTCCGTTATTGGAGCAAAATAAGTAGGTGTATTCACCTGAACCTACTTTTATTCATTACTTCACTGAGCATTTTCTTCCACAGTTTGGAAATTCTTCGTCTGTACCAAACTGATCTCTGAAATTTGTCTCATGCAAGTGGGTTAGTTTGCGCCGGAAGAGCAGCTTTTTCCAACAGTTGTAAGAGTAAGAGTTGTAAGAGTAAGTAAGACAGTTGGTAGGTAAGGTAGTACTCTTTATTTTAAGCCAACTCACTTTTTGTGAACCCCACATGGCGGAAGTCCGATTTGATTATTTGTGCTTATGGTTTGCTTCTATGTGAGTAAATCCATTCTATTTCTGGCTGACTGAAGTTCTAATTTACTCTTTTTTCGAAAGGACCTGCTAAAAATTTCTATGTCAACCACAATTCATTCCAGAATATGAGTGACTGTAAACAATGGTCAAAAACGGCGTTTATCTTGTAACAATAATTACGACTACTTGTGATAAAACGTCCATGGCATATTTGGACGGCACACAGCATTTAGAAACGTTAATAGGCAAGTTACGTAAACTGCACTCAGAGGACAAGTTCGTTGAGATACCAAGCAGGGTTTCAGCCTACTTAGAAAACGCCGCCGAAATTCTAATTTATGGGTTGAATTAGCAACTTAATTTTTTTTCAACTATTTTACATATAACAATATTGGGAAGCAGGCACTTTAGGAAATATAATTTAAGGGCATATGGATCCTTTGGGAAGAGTAGAAGACTCCATTAGATAAATTTTCGACTCTGGTTCCCCGCATAGCCGTCAGACTAGACGAAATGTACCAAAGCCAAATAGCGATTCAAAGGTGGTCAAAAATCAATACTTATTCGGCACTTATGCCAATAAGCGGCCGATGTGTGCGTCAGTCGCCATTGATTGGTTCTCGTATCTTCCATTTTCCCCTGAAATTTTTACAGACACATCCAACCTAATTGGCTATTGATGCATGACTCATCGGTGTGCATGACATGAAGAAACTCTCGGCTTTATTTAGAGTGGCAGGCCTCGACGATGCGAGTTTTTCCCAGGAGGAGATACACCTGGTATAAAGGGTGTGCATGGCCATTTGACACAGATAATCTCGCCTCTTAACTGCCAATTAATGTTTGTGGATTCGTGTAGAGGCGGATTCTTCATTTGGCCATAATATATGACATCACAGGCATTGCGTGAGATCTTGTGGACTGCTTTCTTCATATGGATATAGCCAACAAATCCCTGGGTTTTACAAGCTGAGTGCGTGCAGTTGTCTTTGGTTTTTGCGCCACGTTTATGTAGTGTTTCCTCAAATGTCTTTGACAAACCCAAGCACATTCCTGGTATGAGGAAGAATTTGCCAAGTATTTGCTTTGGGCGTTTGATTGGAGCAATTTATTTTTTGCTTCTAACTATTGTTATCTCATGCTTCGAGGTACGAAATCTTAAACGCCACCATTTCGGGAAAATAATGCAAGCGGGAAATTTAGTTCAACCCAATTATATATATATATAATTATATACATGAAAACTTACCTAGGGCTATGATGCCTAATTGTATTCGGAGTTCAAATCAGAAGTTGGCCTGGGAGCCCCGAGAATTTATCGGTTCTTAAGTTTAGTCTATTCACAACACGTCCATTTTCACCTAACCAAGTTATGACTGCCAGAAAATATTTTACAAAATGTAACGCGATGCAATAAATCACTCTGCTATGCCACGTACTTCGAGCAGCGGAGTGAATTTTATGCAGTGGTTACGCATTTTGCCCATGTTTTGATGTTTCAAACGCCCAAAAATCAGGACATTTATGACAGTTTTATGGGTTTTTTAAAATAAATGAGTTTTCTTGCACATAACAAGTTCGTTTCCCGTCTGTGATTTTTAATAAACATCTGTTGCGCACTTTGTAACTGGCATACGATGCGCCCTTATAGGCGCAGTTCCTATGGAGCACCACCTGCGGTCGGTGCGAAATTCGAGACATTTGCCCACACGGAGACTTTAGAGGATAGAAATGTTTTGAAGCTTTTTACAGGTCCATAAATTATTTTGGACTCCGGATGTCTTAAGACGCCTAGCGCGCCGCAGCGTCTGACAGTGAACATTTTCTCATCAAAAGATGGGGTACTTTGGCTAAGTGACTTCCTACTGGCCCAGGCATAGGAATCCTCAGCGAACTTAAATGTCCACAAATCAGGCCGTCTGTAGGCAGTTTATGAATATTACGTGGTTATTCTGCTGTAGCTGATGCATTTCGGCTGTAATATTCTTATCAACCCTCGAAATGAGCCTATGAAACTGTATTTCGACTGATTCGCACGGGCATAGCAGTTGATTTTCGAGACGATCGCTGGACCGAGAAACAATCAATTTGCTTCCCAAATGAACTTCGCCATTCCGTCCCCAATGTCTGCGTTTGTGATGAAAAATCTCCTAGTGGATAGTTCTAGTTTTAGCAGAAAACCCATCTTCCTAAAGGGTTGAAGAAGGGTCTTCTGGCAGAAGGCAATGACGGAATCCACCCAGGATTTCATGCAACTTAACTTCAACTGCACACAAATTTCACCACAGCATAGGAACTACCCGGCGAATGTAAGTAGCAACATCGTAAGCGTAAATTGTGAGGGGGCCTTATACCCCACTTCGCTAGGTCTGTATTTAACAGTTTTGTAAAAGTAAAGGATATTTCCTCGAAGTGCGTTATTTGGATAATCGAATTTTATTTTGAAAAAATTCAGTTTGGTGATCTACTGACATAGTCGCCTAAGTGCACGTTCGCCTCTTCCTCCATCTTCTTTCTTGCAGAATTTTCCACCTTAACCTCCTTACTCTCGACTTTACTATACACATATTTCTTATAAAGCATGCCCACGAATATTCTGTCTTGTACGCATTTTGTGGTAAATTATACCTTAATAAAGACCGTTGCTCAACAGGATGTATCTTTATTTGAAAAAGTTAGTAGCGATGGGATTTCATAGTATTCTTCCAATAACATATGTTCCTATTTATGACGACATCGAAAATCAATAGATATTCATATTACCTAGGCCACAATCTTTTAGCGAGTGTGCTTTTTGCAAGCGATCAGAAAGAAGCACATTCAAAAGTTGGTATTTTAGTATAACCGAATTATTTTGGGATAATGTTGTATGATAGTCAGTGTTACAATACTCTTAACTAATCCTTCTGGTAGGAGTGACTTATATGGCCTCCTTAACAGGACATAAGAACGCAAACCGCCCGCCATACAAGAGGCTTCGGGCCAATTTCTAGTGAACTTAGGGTTGGGTTAAGGATTAGGCTTGGGGTTAAACTTAAAGTTTGCGACCAGATAAGTCAGGATCAAGTCCAGATTTAAGGTGGGGGCTAGTGTTTACTGCAGGGTTAAGGTTAAGGGTAGAGTTAGGGTGAAGATTAGGGCAGCGGTTTAGTTTTGCACCAGGGTTATATTTGGGGTTGGAATATTTTTCCTTTGGGCTGGGCTTACTTATTCCCATGTCCTGTGTAGGGGGCCATATAAGTAAATTCCGCCATCTCTTTAATTGAGATGGAATTTCAGTCAACGTTTTATAGGTCACGTCCCCTACCGTATGTGGGACGTAATATTCTAGTCTCGTCAAGATGTATTGTAATATTTTTGCTTTAACTTTAATAAAATAATCCATTGTTACTTTTTAATTTCCTCAGAAATTATCTTCGAAGTTGGAGTAGATCCGTTTATACAAGACCTATAGGCTCAGACCGAGAATTTTATGTATGAATATTTCGACCAAAGTCCCTAAACCACAGCAGGTAATCGCGTAATATTCATTAACAGCCGACAGGCAACTAGTAGTATACTTAAAGGTAAGATGATTCCATACTAACAGGAAAGGTACTAGCCAAAAGCCCATACGCGCGTTTTTCACCGATATTCTGCCGCCGCATGGCGCAGCTGCGAGTGGTTCGGCTCGTCAGCGGATAGGCAGTTCATGAATATTACGCGATTATCCGCTGTGGCCGATGGACTTTGGCCAAAATATTCATGCATAAAATTCTCGGCCTGAGCCTACAGACCTTGAATAAACTGATCTACTTCGACTTCGTAGATAATTTTTGAGGAAATTGAAGAGCAAAAATTTCTAGATTGGAGTATCTACCAGAAATCGCACGGGAATGCCGGGGGGCCCACTGACGAGCCGAACCCCTCGCAGCTGCGCCATGCAGCGGCAGAATATCGGCGAAACACGCGTGTATGGGCTTTTGGCTAGTACCTTTCCTGTTAGTATGGCATCACCTTGCCCTATAATAATCTATATAACGCGGCTTCTGCTGAAGAAAAAAGATGATTGCTGGGATGTCGAAGATCATGTCTACTCTAGACCCAGGTCTACCAATGTCTTATTAAATTTAACCAGAATACAAGATACAGGCCTAACTTGCTCCTGACATTTTTTCACTATGACCTCACATCTTTGTGAATGAATGGTGTCCTGAACGCACGGTAGTGATGATATCTCCGTATGCCACGCGGTTAGTGAAAGAAAAAGGTATATATCACAACCTACCGTCCATCAAGCGGATGTGTAGGGGGAAATAGCTTGAACTTTGCAATTACTTAGCCTACGCAAAGAGCATAAAAGTAGCCGTTGCAGGTCTTGCCTGGAAGAATTGACATTGCTGAAGAGGATCGGCAATTGACAGCGGACCATCTCTGTCTCAGCTCTTAGAGGGTTTCAGGGCGTTTTCAATCAAAAAGGCGCCTTATTGTTAGTCCAACAAAAATCTACAGATGTAAATGAATGGAAGGTGGAGAAAGGTTTCTACTGCAGGCTATTTTTTGAAAAATTTGGCTTCTTTCCTCAAGGAAGGTCCAGTCATTGAAGAAGGACTAGGATCTTCGTCTCTGACTTGCCTTCTGTTGAAAATTAACAATACCTTGACCCGGTCGGTTTAACTGTCTGAATTTTGAATTAGGGCTCTAAATCAACAGTAGATAGCTAAGCCAACCGATGATCGAGGACGGCGACGTTGTAACGCAGGCTTTTATTTGGAAAGACACGTTTAAATCAGGAATCACCCAATATTCATTGGTCCCATTGCTTCGACGCGCTATACTGCGTGGTGGAGTACCGCATTTTCAACACGACGTCGGGACTGTCGTGGAACTGATTTGACAGACTTGGAGTAGTAGTCTCTGCTCCCGTCCTGAGTCACGCCTTAACAGTGCATCTTATGAGGGAAGACAGCTTTCGTGAAGAAGGAGGCACGATTGCTAGGACAAGAGCTTAGTTCTCCGAACGTTTCCGATCCCTGCTTGAACCCATCACCAGAGGCAAAAAGAAGATACGAGTGGTTCATGTGCAAGGGGCTGCAGTATTTATAGGGTGCAGTCATCTCTTCGTTTCTATTAGAGACAACTGATTTGACTACTTGACTCCGGATCGATGAACCATGACCCAGGGAGCTAACCACTTCACGATATTCGTCATTTGTGAGAATTGTGACCTAGTCGAATCCGACCTGCTACAACTTGAGCTGACACCACTGTTCCTCCTTGCCTGTGTCCACTTGGTCGCCCGTGTCCGGATTCATCTTACTATCTCCTCACGGCAGCTTTATATGTTACTCTAAAGTGGTTTTGTGGGGTGTAATTTCCGAGATTTGGCTTGATAAATGTCGTGTTATCACGGTTCTCTTTTTAGGCATCGAAATAACTTCTCTAAGGCTCCGTTTGGCAGGTGCGGTGTACCAAAGCCAGCAGGTTTAAGTTCCAATCTGTTTTGTTTAAATTTTTAGCGTGACGCCCTTCCAACGTCATCTGGAACGCTTTGATGTGACTTTTCCTGAAAAAAAGATAGTGGATTCACCCCGACTACACAGCCTCTGACCGAGTTTGTTTTCGTTTTCTGATTGAAATTTGTTTCCCCTAAGTCATGCATCAAGAAACGCTGCTTACATATGACCCACCTTCAGAATGAGAGGGCTTTGCAGATGGGGTTATGGGGTAAAAGGGCAGGGCCGAGCGCATTTTCAATTTCTTTGTCCATATTTGTAGAGAGAGAGAGTGAGAGTACTGTGTTTCGGCGTAGGTTTTAGAAATTAGCCGTATGACGCGGAAATGTTTTTGAACATCCCGAGTTTTTTGACCTCTCAGGAGATGGAATGCTAAACATGCTTGGAACTTTGCGTATGTGAAGGACTCATTTGTTCGATAGGACTGTAATCATGCCTTGGTGGAGTCCCAAATTGTACCGCTCCGCGACAACCAACCTGGGGAGCTCAAGTCACCATCTTTTCCAGCACAGGGAATGGAATATCGAAGATTCAAGAATTACCCGAATGTACTGACTAATTATTTCGAGCATGGCTTCGAGTTGACCCAATCGACTACGCCTAAGATGGGCAGGGGTGTCCGTTCAGGGACAATAACATCGAACTCTTGAGGCAGACAATGAAGAAAGTGTCCAAACATCTTCAATGGCTGTCTGGATAACCTGATATATGTCAGCAATGTTATCTTAGCGAGTGCAAACTGCCTTGTTCAGGACAAAGCCAGTGATCTCCGCACGAAAGATCATTTTTAGGCAGAGGTGTTCAAGGACTTTCAGCCTTTGTCTCTCCTCAGCATGCGCAGCTCAACATTCGCAACTGCATAAGGACGATCTTACGGATCTCTGCTACGAACTGATCTTTGTGGCCCTGAAGATGTACAGATGGGTCCGCGAATTCCCTCTAAAGATTGCGGAAAGCACCTGGACAGCAATTATTTGGATGATGATGATGATGATGATGATGATGATGATGATGATGATGATGATGATGATGATGATGATGATGATACCGCTCAGATTAAACCAGTTTGACAGCAACTTAACCGCAAGACACGTTAAGCTATCGAATTCTTCATGATGCCTGCAATTAATTCTGTGAGATGCCCTTTTCTGATTGCAAGTGCAGCTCAAAAACACTGCTCGGCACACTGCTTACTGGTAATCGAACCAATTCAGCGATACCATGCACTTGCAATACTACCCTCCGTGGGTTATCATATTCTAGTGAGATATCGTCAATCTAACAGAAATCCAATCACGTTGGGTTCTGCTATTAATGATCGGCATCATTAATTTGGGTTCCCCCTCATGTACCAGCCACGCCCTAGCACACAGCTTCGGACTACCCTATGGACTTCAACAGTTTAGGGTTATTGCGAACAAACCTAACAGACGATAGCGGTTATTACTGTCTGCCACCCAATAAGACTTCCCCGCCCCGTCGCCCTGCGGAGTCATACCTTACATCGCCCTTACCATATGCTTACGGAATCTGCATAGTCGACTCTGCAGCCAGAGAGTGCGCGTATTAAGTTCTCTGAACGATGAATCTTCTTTAAAACGTGGTCCAACTCCCAGCTTTAACATCATTTGAATATTAAACCGAACAGCAAGACGCAACGGACAATTCCTCAAACTATAGTCGTGAGCAATGTCGGTGTGCGTAACTAGTCCATTTATGGCACGCTTAAACTATAACCTTTATTTTTCCGAGTTTGGAAATAAGGCTAGCACTTAACCTATTCGAATAATAGTATTCCTCCTGCCCAAAATATGTACTTTTGGTCAGAAGTCCAAAACAACGTCTGTGTTGTGAACACATCTATAAACGCAACAATGTAATTCACAGGTCTTTCAGCAGGCGCCAAGGAACACAAGTCACTGTGTGACTGCTAGGCATGTACTGCACAAATGACTGTCACTGATTGTGTGGTAATCGCAGTGTCTCCGTCTTCACGGCATTTAAAACACATTCTTCGGTATAAGCAATCTGATATATTTACTCAGGAAGGGGGGCACACCGATCCAATGGCTTCTCGAAGCAAACTAACTTCGTATGAGCGATAGGGGATCACGAACAAGCAACCACCTACCAGGCCGAATTCGGCCAAGCTATGATAGCAGAGGGGAGAGGACAGAGTCTGCGGGTAGGTTGATACAGTATTGTATCGGGCTTATTGTGCCTTCATTCAGCCAATCATAACCCTGACCACCAGCAGCTGGGGCCAGAAACACAAACATGCGCACAGACGCACCTGGCGCAGCTGGTCCACCAATGGGGCCTACCAGATGGGTCATAAGCACTTCATCGACCCGAAGTTCATCAGTGCCTCGTCACCTGTCATTCTCTGTCGCTGCAGATCGGGTATTTATTCACTCAGAAATGGGCGCAGACTGATCCATTGGCTTCCCGAAACGAACAAGCTTCGTATGGGCGATAGGGGTCACGAACAGGCAACCACCTACCAGATCTAAGTCGACCAAGCGAAGCAATACAACGCCGTGTCTCCGTCTTCACGGCATTTCAAACACATTCTTCGCTAGAAGCTATCTGATATGTTTATAAAGTATGACAGCGCGTTAAAATCCATGATTTAGGAGGCTATCAACTGAGGGCATGACTCGACCCTCTTCTCTGGTTGCAGTGACTTTTCCTTTATGCGACCTATATGTCAATCCCACTCCTATGGAATTCTAGCCGCCCTTTATTGTTCTGATGGAGCCCTGGTCCATCGTGCGCAAACCATACTTTGTCAGTCACTGCCCTGGTCCCGCCTCCGGCCTTGGTGACTCTGTCTTGGCCCCAGTCTCAGGATGAGAGAGTGCGGCAGGCGCGACGCAGGCCCACTGCCATCACGTGTATCCTTCTTTCCCGTCGACGTGCCGACAATTTCATGCGGAATTCGTGATTCATCAGTCATTTTAGATTACCATAATCCTGTTACTGATGTATTATAAGTAGCATGTTTTCAAACGTTTTACCTACTACTCTTCAGCTGTACTGAACTACGCCTAGCCTCCAAGTGCCATGCTGGTGATGATGTTTTCTCCCCACTGTTTTCAACAATTTACCCTAAAGTTCAGTAGAGAGTCAGCCCCTTCTGAGTCTCGATAGGGGTGACGTTTGAATAAATTGTATTGCTTACTTATTGCCGAGACGCAACCTGTTCTTATGCGTCCCGCCTCTGGCCTTGATGACTCTCTCTTCAGTTCAGTTCTGTTTTATTGTGGGAAATGTAGGTCTTCACCTTTGAACTCCCTGTTCGTTTAAAAGCAGCCGAAAAATTTCCAAAAACTGGAAAAGGTATCATAAAGGTACCACATAGTCGGAAGAGCGTCACCACTGTACAGATAAACAAACTTTCTCGAGTGTTAGTGGTAGGAGCAGTAGTAAAGTGGTCGTTTCGAATACAGGGAAATTAATAATAACCCCAGTGACAAAAGTTGCATGGGTGCATGCCAGAAAGCGTAGGCGATGGACTGTAGATAATAAGAAATTCAATTTAAAGTGTTACTGGAATATAAAAAGCAGTATCATAAAAACGACATTTTTCAAGGTTACAGAGGTCGTGTGGGAATTTAGTGGACACTGCTGTACAAATCCAGCTTCCTCTTAAAGACCTCGACGGAAACAGACATAACGACATCTGGAAGCAGGCCGTTCCGAGCTCCAAGTACTCTGTTAGAGAAGAAGAACTTGTGTGTGTGTCCAGTCGGGCCCCAGTCACACGTAGTTTGAATGGATGGCCTCGTAAATTTGTGGTGATTGCTAACTCGAAGAAGTCCTCCGGTACGAGGCTGCAGTCCTGACCGCGTATGATACGGAAGGCTGGCATCAGGTCACCCCGTAACTGCCTGTAACTCAAAGGAAAGAGTTCAAGGTTAACTAACTGCGTTGCATATGGTAATGAACCCTATCCTGTCACAAGTTTCGTTACACGCCTTTGAGTCCCTTCGAGGATGCTGAGGTCCGTCACCGTCTGTGAGGCACACGGTGGAAGTCGTTTTTCGCGATGATAAAACAGTCGGATAATTTTTCGAAGCAGACCTGTGTTTCTACTCGTCTTTAAATAATCGGCTGGAGGTTGTTACGTGTACTCTCCTTTCCCGTCGACGTGCCGACAACATGTTAATGCGGAATTCGGGATCTATCTGCCATTTTAGATTACCATACTCCTATTACTGATGTGTTGCAAGTAATATGTTTTCAACTATTCTACCTATTAATCATTGACTATCATGAACTTTTCCTAGCCTCGAAGTACCATGCCTGTGATAATGTTTTCTCCTCACTGATTTCAACAATTTACCCGGAATTTCAGTAGAAAGTCGGCCATTTCTGACCCTCGATTCGGTTGAGGGTTTCAATAAATTCTATTGCTTGCTAATTTTCGAGACGCAGCCTGTATTTATGCGTCTTCTTAGGTTCTACAAGCTATTTGGAGGATCATGTTCCGGAAAGTGTTTCATTAATTCTGGTATACGTACAGTATGATTCAGAATACTTCCAATTTCTGGTGCAAATGTGATGTGCCGCATAGTAAGTCAAAGGCTCCAGTTTATTTTGTCACATGCGTATTCCGATAAACATTCCGGCATGCCATTTATTTTGGAAAATTTCGCAATTACAAAAAGATTTTCATCAAAACAGTTTAAAGTAGAAAAACACGTCTGTTCTCTCAGGAGGAAAAAGTTTACCGAACCCCAAAACCGACCAGTAGTATAAACAGTGCAAACATTTTAAACGTACAATCTGCTATCAGTTCTTTCTAAACGCCGTTCGAGAATATTTCGTAAAATACCGTTCGATTGAATTGCAGACACTTGCAGGCTTCGCCTCTTGAACGTTTCCGTAAAAGTAATTTTGGAACGCCTACATTTCGTGAATCTATTCTAAGTGGTCAGATTTCACAATTTTTCGTTGTATCTGAGGAGAAGTCAAGCAGCCACATATGGAGCGATTTACTATGAATGTTGAAAAAGTCGTGCTGAATTTGCACAGGGTGCTTGACCGTCTGAACTGACAAAATAATTGCTACTTATGGGTACGACGTAATATATGCAGTTTATGGTTGTAAATTAAACTTGCCGTCTAATAGTCTGAGCAGTTTGGGAACCGAGTATAAAGGGTCTAGAGAGGCCAGATTCTTAAATTCTTTGGGTCGTAGTGTAGACGAGAGAGAAATAAAGAGTTGGAGCAGCGGACTTGTCCATTTTGTTGGACGACTATTCACTGTTATTAACTGACTGTTCTCCTGGCTGTAAACTGTCATAAATTCGTAGCTCTCCGTGGTCAACAAAAAAGCATTTCTAGAATCAAAAGTGCGATAGGCTGAGTTTAGAGGTTAACTTTAAGTGAGACGGAGTGCATATACTGACTTAAAATTTAAGGAATACGTGTTATCCGGTAAGCACTTAACTAGCAACCGACTACTGAATGATAATCGGCTGGGTGCTCACATGGTTTGCCTTATCAACAAGGGCTTACACTTTTGAAAGGCAACGTGGCTATGCTGTAAGGCCGTGTTCTCCGACGTTGAAGTTCTAAATAATTCCCGCGCACCGTCTAGTCAAACCCGTGGAGCACCAGAAGAATTAATGCAGCATTTGATGGAAGTTGTATTGCGGTGATCGAACTTTCTAGCGACATGTAGTGAAACTTGTTCGAATACATCTGTGACCCAGAAGACGTTCGCATGTACTCACTTAGGGTTTACAGCCCTAAAATGGCAGGTTTTATAAAAAAAAGGATTTTGTGAATCATGATTACCGAGCTGGAAATGACGATCTACCAAATGCGAGAAAGTCGGCAAACGGGTATGCTTCAGCTCCTTACTAAGACTCGTTACAATTGCTGTTGACAAATGGAGATACAAAATATATAGTACAATGAAAAATATGAGCGAGCACAAAGGTTAGATACCTTTTTGGTTGTTTTTCCGTATAGAAGCAAATAAAATGCCCATGCGTCTTCAGTCATTGTACATCGTAAATTGCAATTGTTAAGCAAAAAATAAATTTTTCCGCACATC